AGGCTTTTTAAAAACCAAATCTTGTTTTTTCTCAGTAAAACACATTTTGTCTTCAATTATTTTCATATTGCATATTTTTCCTATTTAAATTTTTGTTTTGAAAGTATGGTAAAAACTGGTCAAATGTACCAACAAAATATACACTTTTTGATATACCATTAAAAATACAAAACAGGTAGCCCATCTGAATTCGGACATTTAGGCTATCCATCTAATAGTAGCCTACCAAAATCTTCTTAACAGTAGAAGTTCAATCTTACTGTAGTCTTCAAATCTTCAAGTCTTACGTTTTAAAATCACAAAGGGAGTTTGGTCCCATCAGGCTAACGTGACCGTCACGACTCATGCAGCTGTAAGCTTTTCTTTTTCTTTTGTTTTTACTCACGATCTTTACAACACGCATTACATTACGTATTTCATGGCACACTCGTTTTATGCGTATTTGGCGCCACCTATTGTTGTGGGTGTATTATTGACATGTCAAAGTCTAGACCCTGAATATAAGACCACCGCGTTTTTTCAGATGTATTTCCAAGAAAAAAAAACATTGTCTTATATTCGAGACAATACGGTATATATATATATATATATTTTTATAAATAATTCCAGTCTTGCTAGAGAACTCCGGTCTGACGCACGTGGGTTCTCGCGTTATTTCCTTATCACTTCTCGCGTGTGTTTTGTTGTGAAACGTAGTTTGCGGACCAGACAGAGTTGTCTGCGACTCTTCCTATTGTAAAGTCATGCAGTTTGTAACCTCCAGTCGCCGATCCATCGTGCAATGTGAACACAGCAGCGACTGACTGCTACCTCAGATAGTCGTGCAGTGCGGACACGGCACTACGGCTCCGATGAGGTTTTGTTCCGTCCTCCATGCTGTGACAACTCACAAAAGACTATTTTTAGCCAAGCTGCGCGGAGAGCCGAGATAAACACAAGCACTGACTAGATCGGCCACGATCAGCTCCGGTTCCCATGGAGCCATAACGCGTCGCAGACGCGTGTGCAGTGAGGCGCAGATCAGCTTTAACATTCTAAGGATATTGTTTCTCTGTGCCTTTATCGTTATAGTTCTGGTGTGGACTCTGCTATTCTTTAATATTGAGAATGATTTTTAGAACTATATCTTTATCTTTATAGTTATCGTTCTTCGTGTGAACAGGGCTCAAAACTATTTATTAGCAAAATCTGGCAAATAGGTCATTAAAAAAAATAGGTAAATAAACAAATTAATAGGATAAAAAACATTATACATCATTTACAAACAGAAAAAAAAAATCGATAATTTTTGGCTAAAATATATTAGTTATGTATTAGTTTAAACAATTTTATTTAAAATAGATTATATTTCAACTACTAAAGTATAGAATGTCGTAAATAATATACATATATACACTTTATAAGAACATCATAACATAAAATAATAAATCACTTTATAAAATTAATGTTTTACTGTTTATTATATAATACTAATGCATTTCAAAATGGTAAAAACTGTATTTAAACACGGTGCTACACTCTTATTAGACAAAAAAATAATGCTTATTTAAGCACTGCAACTAAAAAGATCAAATATGATACATTAACAGTTGAATTGGCTAACCCACTATAGGATGTTGGGCACTAGCTGACCCTCATGGATTTATAAAAAGAGTCTGAAAACAGAAACAGCTTATAATTTGACGCGGATGGAAAGGCATTACATAAAGTGATTCTGAAGCTGCCTGGATTCTGTTAACACGAGAAATCCTTTAAAAAAATAACACAAGCACATGTGGAGTTCTTGCACTGCTCAGTCCTTATAAAAATAATATGACGGAATTTTTTTAGCAGTAAGAATAATTCATATGTGCCTCGTCCTGCACCATGTGACTTGTTTGAGTGCGACTGCCCCGTTGAGTCTGTCTGTGGCGTGTCAGTTGTTAAAAAGGTCGGTGACAGCTGAACGTTTGGAAATGAACAGCCGCGTACAGCAGATGGTGCTGTGGAAAAAAAACGGACGTTTCTATAAGCCTGACAGCTGAACCGCTGTTTTCTTTACATCGTATGCTCGGATGGATCGGTTAACTCTGTTAAATATTGTACACTAGCTTTTTTAATTTCTGTCCCTTAGGGTCTCTTACAATCACAGCCAAGGTTTCTTGTGGTAATTTGATACTTTATGAGTGTTTTCCACCCTCTTGCTGAGCCTTAACATTAAACAGGCCATTTTGCTACTGCGCAGTGAACATTTCTTTATGCAAATGACTTCAATTGTGATTGACTGATTTCAATGTACCAGCACAGCTTAGGCAAAAATTTAACTTCTGTCATAATTTAATCACACTTATGTACTCCCAAAAGCATTTTAGGGCCATCTTTTTGACATACAAAGACAGTCAAGGACAGAGGAGAGTGAAAAATTTAAGGGGGTCTGAATACTTTCCGTACCCACTGTATATATATATAGTGTGTGTATATGTATAAATAAGTTCCACACACACACACACATGACTCAAAGATGGCAATGACAAGACATCAAGAAGCAATGATGTTTGATGATTGGATGATAAGAAACTTTGTCTTGAGGCACTTTTTTTATTACATAATTTTTGATGCACAGCAATACTTCTTCCCATTCACTTTAATTGCATGCAAAAGAGCAGCATGAACAATCTACTGAACATCTGCTATTGTGATCCACAGAAAATAAAAGCCTCACAGATTTGGGTGAGAAAATGATGACCACATTTTCCTTTTTGAATGAACTAGCGCTTTAAATGAACATCAGCGTACATGCTGGTGATTCAGCTCCACCACACCTCCCTCAACATGTAACGCAAACATAATTAACATCTGTGAAACAGAGAAGAACGTCAAAGATGTGTGTTATCAACATGAGCACACACACACGAAACCTCATGGGTTCACGGGGTGCCCCTGGCAAACAGCGTTAAAGGGAAAATCCTCTAGTAAAAAATGCCTTCAGTCGGAGTGGCTGCAGATCCTTCTGCTCAAACCAGACCATCTGCTTATCACACACACACACAGAATACACTGTATCGACACACACACTCCATTAAACATGATCCTACTGCACTACATACACTAGTGTTTGATTTGTAATGTTTTTTTAAAAAGTCTCTTCTGCTCACCAAGGCTACATGTATTTGATCAAAAATACAGTAAAATTGTGAAATATTATTACAATTTATGTATAAATAAGTTCCACACACACACACACACGACTCAAAGATGGCAATGACAAGACATCAAGAAGCAATGATGTTTGATGATTGGATGATAAGAAACTTTGTCTTGAGGCACTTTTTTTATTACATAATTTTTGATGCACAGCAATACTTCTTCCCATTCACTTTAATTGCATGCAAAAGAGCAGCATGAACAATCTACTGAACATCTGCTATTGTGATCCACAGAAAATAAAAGCCTCACAGATTTGGGTGAGAAAATGATGACCACATTTTCCTTTTTGAATGAACTAGCGCTTTAAATGAACATCAGCGTACATGCTGGTGATTCAGCTCCACCACACCTCCCTCAACATGTAACGCAAACATAATTAACATCTGTGAAACAGAGAAGAACGTCAAAGATGTGTGTTATCAACATGAGCACACACACACGAAACCTCATGGGTTCACGGGGTGCCCCTGGCAAACAGCGTTAAAGGGAAAATCCTCTAGTAAAAAATGCCTTCAGTCGGAGTGGCTGCAGATCCTTCTGCTCAAACCAGACCATCTGCTTATCACACACACACACACAGAATACACTGTATCGACACACACACTCCATTAAACATGATCCTACTGCACTACATACACTAGTGTTTGATTTGTAATGTTTTTTTAAAAAGTCTCTTCTGCTCACCAAGGCTACATGTATTTGATCAAAAATACAGTAAAATTGTGAAATATTATTACAATTTAAAATAGCTGTTTTATAATGTAATATATAACTTATTCCGGTGATCAAACCTGAATTTTCAGCATCATTACTCCAGTGTCACATGATCTTCAGAAATCATTCTAATATGCTGATTTACTGCTCAGGAAACATTTCTGATTATTATCAATGTTGAAAACAGCCGTGCTTCTTCATATTTGTGTGGAATCTGTGATACTTCTTGAAATAGAAATCTTTTGTAAAATTAGAAATGCCCCTACCGTCCCTTTTGATCAATTTAATTAGTCCTTGCAGAATAAAAGTATTAATTTCTTTCCAAAAAAAAAAAAAACACCTTTTGAATGGTAGTTAAAAATGAACCAACATCCCAGAGTAAAAAAACTAACTTCTGATTAAACTCAAAATTGCATTCTCAACTCATTTTACACATTTCCAAATAAAATCTAGGATGGAATTTGATCTTATTTATCAAGAAACTATTGAACGGTGGGTGAACATTTCCTTCAGAATAACATGCACAGATGAAACGCTCACAAAACTACCAGGAACGTACACTGAAAATATATTTTGGCCTAAATTTAAGATTTATGTCATTGAATTACATTTCCATGCATTTGGACTACACAGTTTTAACAAACTAATAAACTTAATGTGATGCATATTTGTCAGTGATGCATGAATAAAACAGACAGGTCAGATTTCTGTAATAGCACTGATGAACTAAATGTGTTTTAAAATACACAATAACCAACTTTATATATTTATCATTAGTAAGTCCAATTTGTTTAACTAACTGAATATTGCTTGTTCCATGTTCAAACTTTTTAACTGAATAAATTTGAATGAATGTATTTTGATTGAAATAAAATCAAACTATGCCACTATATCAGTTTCACTGATGCATGACTGACAAATATTTATCACACTAGGGTTATTAGTTATATTAAAACTGTGTGATCCGAGTGCATGCACTTCAAATACATAAATCTTAAATTTAGGCCTAAACTTTTGTTTGAGCGTGTAAATAGTCAATCTGGCATCATGTTGATCTTAAATCCCCTGATGAGGCGATGCTGGCGCATGCACGTGTTTACCTGCGCTCTCTATGTGGGATAGGCTGCTGCTGCTGCTGGCGTGTGATGAAAGTGGTTCCCCACACCGGACTGCTGTGGCTAGTCCTGAGCCAGCCCATCGGAGCGGCCGGCGGGAACGGAGCCGTGGTGAACCCGTGATCTGATTCTCTGTCCGTGGTCAGAGACGACGCAGAACTCCCCATTGCCACGAGCAACTTAGAAACACACACGCTGCGTCCGTCTGGTTGTCTTTCATACACATAAATACACTCAAACGCAAAGGTCAACGGTTCTCAAGCTCAGTTCGGAGGGTCAGACATCTCCTCTAGTCTGCCAGAGATCAACATCAGGAAGTGACAGACAGGAAGTGGCTGTGATTGACAGCGCTCATGCACACAAGCGAGTCTATAAATGATCCACGGGTGCCGTTTTCCCCAAAGGTCTGCGAGGGCCGCAGGCCCTTTAGTCTCTCTAAGCCTCAGGTGGCGTTTAACCTGCCGTAACCTCGCCTGAGAGGAAGGACGACACTTCGGGGATGGCGGTACAACACATTACTGAAGCACTAGAGACAAAAACACTCCGTTTAGGGCTTTAAAAGAGGAAGTTTGACGCAGCGAGAAAGTTTCCAGTCTCCATTCCCGTCTTGTTTTTCTACGCGTCTGGTTGAGTCACGGCGCAGTCCTTCTAATCATGTTCACTGCCTGTCTCTCTCTCTCGCTCTCTGTCTTGTCTGTGGCTCATCTTTCCGCAGCTGTCACCGGGATTACGATGCGTCACATTTCATCCAGCCTGCAGAAGCAAATATTCCTTTCATCGCAAACAAACATCAGCGTCCAGAGAACAAGCATATCAATCCGTGTGCATCTACGCATGCGAATGAGTGCATGTATGTGTGCGTGCAATTAATCAGAGATGCATGCGAAGAGCATTTTTAAAAGCAATTTCTGCACGGTAACCTGTTAAAAAACTGACTTCTAATGACAATTCGGGAGGTTTTAACTAGTAGAAACATTATAAACAGGCTAAATTAAAATGGTAAAAAATATTTTTAAATACATTTTCTATTTACATTGTTTTTTATTAAATTAAAAAATTGTAAGGTATTTTTGCTGATACAAATAATCACTATTATTTTATGGCAACTATGACTGATATAATGATTCTATATGGGTTTGCATGCTTAAAAAATGCTTAACGTTTTATATTTCCGATCAGGCACTAAAACTATTTTAACGTTCTGAAAAAAAAATGGATAACTTTATAACATGGAACAAAAAATTTAGCATCTAATTCTGATCTCATATTTAAAAATAATCATTAAAAAACACCAGTAATAATTTAAACATCATGGTAACATCTGTCGATACCAGTTCAGCCACCAATATTCTGTGCATACCTAGTAAGCGCTGAAAAACGAATCAGTCAGATATAAAAACGACATAACATGACTATGCATGCATATGTGTGCAAGCCCCTGTATAAGCATCAGTGCGTATGCGACTGCGCATACATGTATGCATGCATGTGTCTCCAGCATCAGTGGACTCCGATGACACAGAGAGGGTTTCTGACCCAGTGGAGGCCCTCAGCGGGTCAGACTGCAGGTGCTGCAGTGAATCTCGTCCTGCTCCAGCTGAGCATCTCATCCGAGTCTCATCTAAACCTCATGCAGATGTTCATAACGTGACAGCGACGGCTGTGAAGGTTCTCATCTGTCTCTCTAGGCACCGGAGTATCAAGTTTGACACTCAGATCGTGACTATGAATATTTAACGGCGCAGAGAGGCTCGGGTGAGGTGCAGTGGTCTCGGGCCCGGTGAGGACATGAGCGCTCCGGTTCCGCCGGTCCGATGTGGGTCTCAGCTGCGGTCGAGCGTCAAAAGCATCGGGATGGATGATGCAGACACAGACAGATCCCTGCGGCTGAAACGCTGCCGTCCAGATGCGCGGTGCGGTTTCGCTCGGTTCCGTTTGCCGGTTCGGTCACTTATGATTCGGCTGGAGCGGAAGATGATGATGATGATGATGATGATGATGATGATGATGATGATGATGATGATGATGATGATGATGATGATGATGATGATGATGATGATGATGATGATGATGATGATGATGATGATGATGATGATGATGATGATGATGATGATGATGATGATGATGATGATGCTGCTGCCGCGCACCGCATAAACACACACAACAACCAAACTGCAGCGGTGTTTTCATGCATCTCCTCACGGGACTCATGATGACAGCATGCGTGTGTCTAAAGCGCAGTTTGATGTGCATGCATATGCTGCGGTTATTTATTTGATCCGCTTCTTAATTCAGCCCGTTTCTCTCCAGGGCGCGCAGATGCGCGAGGATAACGGCGAGTCAGCAGCGCGCATGCGCAGCGTCGACACTCAGCCTCTGCTACAGGACTCGGATTCTCTCGTTTTTCTCATGCACAAATATACACTAATAATCTAGAGACAAAGCCAGTCGAGAGCACGCCTGGGTCATATTTAAACTCAAAATCATAAGAAGAAATATCTAATAAATTATTATTTAATAAATATAAACGAATTCTGAATTATAACAATATGTTTTGACATTTAACATGAATTTCCATTCAAAATGTCTTGGAAAAAGACCTAATGAATGAATAAATGAAGGTTTAATGAGCTGTGGTGAACACATTTGGATGTGAACATCAGTTGTGTGTCTTGTGATTGTAGATTATAAAGCTACTCATTTCTTCTATATTATGAGAGACACTGAAGAAAAGGCTATAATATGCCAGTTTAGTGCATTATTAAACGAGAAGACAAATTATGCTAACTGCACTGATACGTACAGTATGCAGAAAACATTTTAAGCGAGAAGTGCTCCTGTCATTGTTACTCATTACTTAGTTGCATTATTAAATATTCTTAATGCAAACTTCAGAAACGGGCTGTGATCAATGACATCGCAACATCATCAAGGTGAATTTGAGCAGTAGGTCAAATATGTGTTCAGAGAGTTCGTTGGTTAATTAGGTAAGTTCAGTACGTTATTTTGTGTAAGTCATACACAGGAAATTCTAGGGAAATTATGTTATTGCACTTTCGCAATAACTCAACTCATAAAACCAGTCTGACAAGATCTTACGCACGCATACAACACAGCTACAGATTCTTGTGGTGTGAGAGAGCCAAAGTGTGAAACAACTTACTGAAACCACTAAAGACTCGATTATGGAGCGTGCTAACAATGACAAAACATGCATACAATATTTAAGGCATGTGACACGGATGACAGCAGATTCAGGAGAAAATGCGTCACTGCTGTTGAAACACACACACCTTCCTCCTAATGAGTCTCAATGAGCTCAAAAGACTTCTACTGAGCTGATACTCAAACTCTGTGCCCCTAAGAGATTGATTTTATTTTAGAGTTCTAAAACATTATTTGAGCATTTCCTACCTAAGTTAGCTAATTAACTACACACATGATCAGCTATCCTTATGGGGACTCTCCATAGGCGTAATGGGTTTTCTGTACAGACTGTAAATCAGAGATGCATGCGAAGAGCATTTTTAAAAGCAATTTCTGCACGGTAACCTGTTAAAAAACTGACTTCTAATGACAATTCGGGAGGTTTTAACTAGTAGAAACATTATAAACAGGCTAAATTAAAATGGTAAAAAATATTTTTAAATACATTTTCTATTTACATTGTTTTTTATTAAATTAAAAAATTGTAAGGTATTTTTGCTGATACAAATAATCACTATTATTTTATGGCAACTATGACTGATATAATGATTCTATATGGGTTTGCATGCTTAAAAAATGCTTAACGTTTTATATTTCCGATCAGGCACTAAAACTATTTTAACGTTCTGAAAAAAAATGGATAACTTTATAACATGGCACAAAAAATTTAGCATCTAATTCTGATCACACACACACACACACACACGTATGGTCAGCTATCCTTGTGGGGACATCCCATAGGCGCAATGGGTTTTCTACTGTACAGACCGTATTTTCTATTGCCCTACACCAACCCTACCCCTAAACCTACCCCTCACAGGAGACTTTGTGCAGTTTTAGACTTTCTAAAATCTTCATTCTGTGTGATTTATTAGCTTGTTTACCCATGGAGACCTCCATTTAGGTCCCCACCGTGACACGAGTCCCCATGAGTCGGTGTGTATTCAGGTTTAAGTCCCCACCAGAATAGAAAAACAGGTACACACACACACACACCTGTTACACTGTATATTCAGAGCCAACTGACCCATGAGAGACAGACAGATTGCTGAATACACATACAGACAGACAATCTACTAAAACTATGCTTCATTATTCTTACAAATGAAAATTGAACATGATCTGATTAAAAAAAAAAAAAAAACCAGAACTGAGAACTACAGTGAAAGACACTCAGTCTGAATGAGGAACTGACGATGATTGCTCAGTATGGTAATATTATTCATAAACATGAGCATCTTTAAAGCGACTCATATAACAGACTCATCACACACACTCAATTCAGCTCAACATTTCGATGTTTTAAAACGGATTGAAAGACCAGATTTCAGCTTCTGAAGGAAATGTCCACATCTCAGAGTTCACTTCCTAGTTCAGAAGCATCAATAAACCAGAGCCTAAACCAAAACCAGCACTTAACCCATGACCAAACCAGCGTTCGCGTTCAGAACGAGCAGTTCTTTCAGTGGCAGAGTGTTACATTCTATCACTTCGCCAAGGAAGTTGAAAAGCAAGAAACGATACAATGTAACATTTGATGCGACTCTCGCTCGCGCAATTAAAGAAACAGAAACCGCCAAAACACAGCGCATGGAAATACATACAGGCTACATCAAAATACCTACACCTTGACATATGAGGTGTTTTATGATCTATGTAATCTGCGTTCAGAAAAGTGCTCTTACTTGTGAAGCACAGGGAGACCTTCGGATGGACTGATGATCTTCTCTTCCTTGACTTGGCCGTTTAACTTTCCCTTCTGCTGTCCGAATCGATTCATTTCCTCCTTCATATAAACGCGTCTTCGCTCCCCACGAGCTCTGTTTTCCTCCGATCCATGCTCGTTTGTGACCTGGCTGCTTTGATCTACTGCCTGAATCTCGCAGGGTTCCTCATGCTCCTCTGTGGAAATAATCTCAAGAAGCAGAGCGCCGCGCACTCGCCGTAAATCCGCGCTGGAACCCCGCGCTGCGCCACTCAGAATGCGTAACTCTCGTTCAGAATCCGGATTTCTCAAACTCGTTTCCCAAAATGCCTTGTGTGTATCGGAGAGAGAGGTCAATTCTCATTGGACAGCGAATGTTGTCGGCCTGTAACTGTTTCCTTGGAGATGCACGGGGTTTTAACGTAAGGGGGCGCATTACGGCTCAAACCCACGACGGTTTGTAGTTATTGAAAATATTTGTTTATTGAAAAACTGTATATTTTTTTTTAATCTGAAGCTGACAGAGATTCATATTTGAAATTCAAATCACAATCTGCGTCAACAGTGTTCATAAAAATAATTATTTTTTAAAATCCTCGATTAGCCAACACAATTAACCGTGATTGGTCCATCCTGACCAGCGTTGAGAAAAGTAACAGGTATCACAATATTTTATACACGACAGTAAGGTATTTTAATGGTCGTTTAATTGAAGATAAACCGTGAAGAGTTAAAACAGGATAACAGGATATCGTACTTGAATAATTAGAGGCAACCTTTATTTTCTACAGCCTTTCTATCTCTTTCCATGAGAGGAAACTCCCGGGTGTGGTTAAATCGAGTCGGTTTTCTCAACAAACTGAACTAAAACCGAAACTGAGCCTGTGGTAAATTACATAAGGATGATACGAAATATATCTAAATACTTTAATGTGGAGATATCAATGTTATCAATACTTTATTCTAATCATAAATGTGATCAAAAATGTAACAATCTGAGGAAACATCACAAGCGACGCGGTGTATTGTTATTATTGTGATTAATAATTTACATGCGCATTATATTTTCACTATAACAAGAAAAGCGGTGACTTGAAGGGTGAACAGCGACATCTAGCGGAAGAACGAGAGTACTATTAAACAGCAGAAATCAAATGTGTCTGTCTGATGGAATGTGAATTAAAACGTTCCAAGTGTTCCATCTAGTGGTTAACAGTGGAAGTTCTGAGAAGATTATTTTCTTACCCTATTAATGGTTGCATGCAGGTCGTATTAGAGCAAGCATTTATCATTATAATTATAAACATATATTAAGGCTTATTTGCAAGTTGAAAAAAGAAAAGAAAAAACACATTATGGATTAAATATATATCGTTTAGAGAGACGCAGAGAATGTTAAAAGCCCTTAGTTTAAATGAGTATGATTGAAATATCTTTCATTTGAAATGATCAGCCAGGAGGATAATTCGTAACAGAGTCATAGAATAATAACATGATTCAGATGCATTTGGTGCTGTGATCCTTCAAAGCTCTGGAAGCAGGACTTTGTACTAATCCAGCGGCCAGTTGCATAAACAGAGGCAGTATGTTAAGACTGTGTCTTAAGAACTAGACTAATTAGCAGTTAAATCAGGCTTTCAGATTCAAATTAGAGCATTTTTATGTAACTGATTTTTAAAAAGTCTTGGAAAAAAACGAGATTACTTATTTTTCAGACTAGTCTAAGGAGTTTATGCAACTGGCACCAAATCTTGGCGGTGTGCATGGGGGAGGAAGAAAACCCAAACTTCCCAGTTTCTGTGGCATTTGCCATACATTCACAATATCCCCCAGTCTGTTCTTATAGCAGCATGTCAACAGATTTAATCCCAGTGTCACCGGCTGCATTTGTGCTTGTGCATCACATGTTTCAGGAAATATTACATGTGCCAGGATTTCTCTAGTTTGGGTTTCTCCCTCCAATATTTTTGGTTTGTTTTCCTATTTTGCGGTTCTCTCCCATTTTCCCTCTGTAAGAAAAATATAAATAATACTATTTATATAAGTCTATTTTGAACCTAGGAACTTAAAAAAGCACATTTTGAATGT